TCGGTAAACCTGTTAATAGTCCGGCTCGGGCCCCTTTATAGAAATACCGGAGGTGCAGACAACGCTGCAGAGGGCCGAAAGGGGAAGGCTCTCGCTCAGCGAGTGCACGTGTGCAGGGGTGTGTGATCTTCAGCAGATCTTCTGAGCTCCGCTGCAGAAGGTGCGGGTGTTTTAAGGAGGAAGTTAACAGAATCATCATAATTATCCCGCAGCAGAAGCTTTTCTTGACAGCTCTTCAGAGTTACAACTTGGTTTTTCGATGAGGACTAGTAATACCAGCATGAAGCTGCCTTAGTTGGTTTAACAACGCTCTTGTCTTAATTCACTTAATACTTAATTCACTTACATTAGAAAACAACTTTTGAAATGGGATTATGTGAGGGGTTTTTGCCTTAATATCAAGGACAGATTTGCGTTTTCCTGGCTTAGATTCTTGTAGGAAAATGATCTTTTCATTTGCTGAAGGTGAATTAAACCTTGAGTATTTCACTATAGAAAGAAAAACTATGCCACCAGTTCATGAGTCAGTTTAAAAAAAAAAAAAGATGCAGTGATACGTGACTAGGTGAATTTAACCATGTGCTTTCTTTTGTGAGTTCTCTTTAGCAGGTGTTTTTGCATAAGCTAGAACTTCTCTATTTGAAGTTACAGAAACAGCTGAGTGAACTGTGTTTGGCTTCTGAATATATTCTGCCAAAGATATCTTTAGGTGATGCTAAAATATGCTGATTTCAATTTAATGGTCTCATTCCATCTAGAGAAGGGTTTCTCTCTTGAGAGTAGCTGTGACATTCAAGTAGCTTTTTGCATCCTTGTTTTCTTACTCGACCCCAGTGGCAGCTGGTACTGTAGGTCACCGTAACATGCTGTGACAGCCACGGATCGCCTTGGAAGTCAGTTGATCAGTGCTGATGAAGTGTTGCTTGTGTGTGGGCATACTGAAGGGAGAGAGCCAATCTAATGTGTAAATCTGGTGGTGGAAACCAACTAGGATCACCCCGAAAGAAAGGGGTTGTGTCCTAGGGGCTAGAAGAAGTCATTAGGAGGGGGAGTGGTGTGACGAATTAGGGCGCTGGGTTGCAGTGTGGCAATTCAGTCTTGATCTCTGGTTGAGTAACCTGGAAGATGTTATTTCTTTCAGCTTCTTCCACCTGCAGAATAGGTGTAATGAAACTGGCTTTTCTTGAGCGGGACTGATAAAGTGTAGGTGATGCTGCACAGTCTGTGTACCATGGGCTGTAGAGTTTCTGCATCACTGAACTGTATCTTCCTCTCGCGTTCAGTCTTGAGAGAGTGTGCAGTTTCCTATTCAAGTTATTAACCACTCACAGCAAAGCTAACTATTTTTTGCCTAGTTCCAACTTCGATGTCTGAGCTGTTACTCCCCCCAGTCTTTGGTGGATTAAGAAAAGTCTTTTGCTATGTGGATTTAGTTAGAGATGCTTGTCATCTTTCATCAAGTCACTTCTCAATCTCTCTGACTAGGTGGAAGGAAGGATTATATACGGTTGGACTTGATGATCTTAGAGGTCTCTTCCAACCTTAATGATTCTATGATTCTATGATCTTGATGTTTTATGCACAAAGTCTCAAGCAATAGTAAGATCCAGAAGTATGAAGTCTTTCTTAAAAGAAAGCAATTTCCTTGTACCTTTTAATGTTTGGGGGTGTTTTAGCATTCTAAGAGTGCTTGAGTTGTTAACCAGAGAGATTTAGCTGTTTTTCTCCAGTCTGTTGCTAGAGAGATAAATCAATAGTAGACTAAGATCCTCATGAGCAAGGATGAAGGAGCTCCTTACCAGTGCATCAAGTGCTGGTCCTAAAATCAATGTAACTGTACTAAGGCTGGTTGGGACAGTCCTGCATTATGTGATCCTATGAAAGATGTGTTTGGGTGCCTGCTGTGCAAGAGACGTGGGCAATTGGCTTAGGAGTTTCTATGAGAAAGGACTGAAATAAAATGTAGCTGATCATGGGGACCTGCATGGAAATTCTGCTTGTCTTGCACCAGTAGTAGTTAGCATTTTGTCAAAGCTGCTACCCTATCTGGAGAGCCATAGCAGGAGTGGCATAACTCCAGCTAGCTTTAGGCACAGGGAATATATTACATGATCATGGGGAATCATGATTTAAGTGAGGAGGGAAAGCACATATCTTGCCTTCTCTGGTCAAACTGGAATTCCTTTCCTCTTTTTCCTGCTCATTTGCAGGGGGTGGGGTGATGATTTAGCTGTGGCAACAGGAGGATCATAAATGTTCTGCATGTAGATGAGGCGCTTAGGAACATGGTTTAGTGGGCATGGTGGTGTTGGGTTGACGGTTGGACTCGATGATCTTGGAGGTCTCTTCCAACCTTAATGATTCTATGATTGCTTTGCTTTTTGTTCTAGGCACAGTGAGCTGCACGTTATTCCTGGCGGTTAATGGTTTATATTCAGCCAGTGATGATGTGGTAGAGCTAACACCAACTAACTTCAACAAGGAGGTCATTCAGAGTGAGAGCCTGTGGCTCGTGGAGTTCTATGCCCCATGGTAAGAATTACAGCTGCATACTTGCTTGCTCTTATCATGGAGGAGCAGCATACTAATCTGGTGCTGATCAGTCCAGGGTTTCATTCAGTTTTTGTCAGTACAGTTATTGCTTTTATGGCCTCATGACTAGCAAAAAACTGTGGTTGGGATTCCTATTTTAAATACCCTCACCGGGGGAAAAAGGCAGCAATTGGAGTCACATGGAAAAGACGAGGATAAGTTACTCCTGGGGAAATTCCGACCGGACACAAAAGGAAAATTTTTCACAATGAGAACAATCAGCCGTTGGAATAATCTCCCCAGGGAAGTGGTGGTTTCCCCAACATTGGACACTTTTAAGATTCGGCCTGACAGGGTGCTGGGCCATCTTGTCTAGACTGTGCTTTTGCCGAGAAGGGTTGGACCAGATGATCCTTGAGGTCCCTTCCAACCTGGTATTCTGTGATTCTATGAAAACCTTATGTCACTTTACTACTACTTTTTTTTTTCTACTGAAATTAGTATTAAAAATGACTGATCGAAGTGTAATAGGTAAGTGAGAAGGCCCCTCACTTCTGTCTTTCTGAACCTGATTCTGATGTGAAAGCACAGATCTGAATTTACACTTAGAATTTCCAATTTCCATTGAAAAATACTGGCTGTGTGCACCTTAATTTAGCACCTCTATCTCCCATCCTGCTCATGTCCAGACCATGGAGTCTCTTCCACGTAAATTCCATCTTTGCACAAATCCTCTGTGCTATTGCCATCCAAAGCTCCATGTTCTGGAGAAAGGCCTTTCATTGGAACAGCTTTACTGTGTCTGGACTGAGAGGTTTAGGGGAAAGCTTGCTGTGCCTCTTCTAGTGTTGCAGCTTTACAGGCAACAGGAAACTTTACTGAACAATGGAAATAGTGTGTAGAACAAGTATAA